GAGGAATGCTGCAGACACAAACTAGAGTCATCTTAAAAGTGACTGAAGTTATCTGATTAATCCATGCCGTGAGATCCCACGTATCTTCAAGAAAGGTAGCTCAACTTGTGCAAAGGATGCATGCAAGAAATGTCATTAAAATCTATAGGCAGGAAGTACATTCAGTTGAAGAAGCAGGGAACAGCTCTAAGGTTGTTACAACTGTTATCAGACAGAAGCTTTTGGAAGAGATATGGAGCATATGGGGAATGCTTGTTGTTCTACATCCTCAGTTAATACTACTTTGTACTGCACTGCCATCTGAAAGCACCTCCAGAGATCAATTTATCCATTTCTCCAATGTGATTACAATAAGTTAAGGGTGCTTCACATGTGACAGGTCAGGTGTCTCCTTAAATGTCCATGTTTGCCTGGTACATTTTCCCAGCTTTGTTTCGTAGCTACACTTAAATTTTCATTTGTGTCCATAGTGGGTGTCTTAGGAAGCCCCAGTGCAGACATGTACCATGGACCCTTCTCCAGCCACCTTCCATTCCAGGTGCCTCACCAAAATCTGAGCCACATCAGCTTTGACATATTTAAAATCTTTCCAGCAAATTCAACACAAAACAGGCAATACCCCTAGAAGCAGAGCAAGTCATATCCTACCTATCATCTCAAAAGAGCACACACTGGCTAGAAAACATGCCCTAACAAATCATCTTATCTTCAGGTGCCAGTTTTATACCTAACCACTCTGAAACATCATGTGACTTGCCACATTTCTATAGACTTTATATTGAATATTGAACTGGTGTGCTGCTACTGTAAAGACCCTTTACACGTTTTACCTGCTCTAAAATGGGTACTCAAGGCAAGGGCCATAAAAGAAAATTGCCAAGTCATTACTCAGGTATCAGTATTTCCATCATGCATCATTCAACTGTATGGAATAGCCTTACCACAATTTCTATTCTTTAGCCTTTCTATTACTGAGGAATTTCCATCCCTCAACATTTTTCATGAGTTGTAAAAGGCAAGCAATACCTTCACTAGTTTCCAGTGAAATATGCAAGAACCCTTACAACAAAAGTTAGATACATTTTCAAGACAAGCAATACTTTATCATTAACATCATGGATGATTATATTGATCTCTTAGTCATCAGGTAAAACTCGTCATCTCATATTCTTATGAAACATACCTAGCACTGACAAGTCAAACATGCTGCTCTGTTGCTTACATTGAATCCCAAATAAGAAGTATTTTTGCAGGTAGATTTTCTGGAGCTTTCTATTGTAGAAGACCATTTATTATCCCTAGGAAGACCCACCTTCAATTTGTCAACATGAAACGGTTGTAGCAAATCTTGAATTTGCACATTAGTGGAAAAATTTTGAGATTATTCACTATTTTGAGCATTGTTACCCAACTCAAGTTTTCACATGAGAAGCATGTATAGGCACGTATCTTGCATCAGGCACTGCATGTTGCAGTTGACTGGCAAATGCATATGAAAAATTCAGTGTTTACTTCTGTCTGTTCGGCTTTTTACATTACATCAGTTCTCAAACAGTACTGCCTTAGAGCTTGTAAGCCATCAGTAATTTCATCTTTCTAAGGAGAATTTTTAAAAAATGAGAAAATTAAAGCTCTATTTTACCTAGTGCTCTTGACAATACTGCTAGATTAAAAAACATTATTTTAGCCCAGGCTTAATTGAAGACTGTTCTTTTCCTGTATCTTTCACATTAATTGTAGGTATTTGAAATAATATTTTTTACTAAATCTAATTCAGCTGTGCTTCTGAAAAAAAGAGTCTCTCTTTTTACTTTTACTTATACTCAGAACCTAAATTTTAGATGTCCTAAAATAGGATCCATTAGTAGTCAATGGACCTCCATAGGTCAGCTCATTCCAGTTCAAGATATATGCCCAAAACAGACAGGATAAATAGCCCTCTGGACTTTTAGATCACTTTCAAGCAAATATGTGAAGGCAGCTTAGTTTTTATAGAGGTAAAATAAGGCAAGATTAAAGTCACCATAACACTTGATCACAATATATAATGTACAACACCGAAACAGAGCTTTTCTAAGTTGCAACCTACTTTGTTTTGTATATGTGTTCTTTAGACATTTTGAAACAAACATACAATCTCAAAATCTTCTGTTTGGAATAAAAGAAGTAAAAATAGAAATAAATTTAAAAAAACCACAACCAAAACATAAACTGTACTTATAATTGAGCTTAAATTGAATATGTGTCAAAGCAGAACTTTGTTGTATGTATGCTTGACCTTAGGCAGCTGAGCCTAATTGATAGTGAGAGGCTGATATAGGTCTACCTATAAGGTTACTGCTACTCTTAAGAACTTTCTAGTTTTAATCAAAACTTTTTATAGTTTCCTTGGTATGCACAATCAGAGACATCTATAATACACACTTCCTAAGCAGTTGGCCAATGAATCCATCTTTTAATTAAGGTGGATTCTGTGTGTCTAAAAAGGACAAAGAAGAACATACATAAAGATGTTTTAGTAATTTTAAGAGGGACGGTGAGTCAGACTTTTCTCATGTTTCTATCTGTACCAGAAGAAACATTTGCCTTTATGCTCAAGCTTTTAATACAGCAAGTAAATCTTACTCAAAAGGGCAGGCATCCTAACACATTGAAGAATACCTATGAGTATGAGTGACAAAGGCCCTCCTTTCAGAGTGCTTTTAATTTAAGAAGTGTCTCTTAAACCCGGGGAAAAGCAGGACTTCCATTTCTATTTAATTTTGAAGCATAGAAAGATGTAAGAATTCAAGATAAAATAGCAGCTAGTTTAAATATGAGTTGTATTAATGAGAAGAGGACAAGAATCTTGTCTTCTAAGTAGTTATGACTCATACCTTCCAATTATAGCATGCACACATCATATTTTAGTAAAAAAAGAGTATCAAGCATCCTCTGGATGGAAGAAACTCAGATTCTTGGCGATCTAGTAGCTGATTGACAGGCGTTGGACCACATCTTATGAAAAAAATATGTGAACCTGAGTCTTTACTCAGTTACCCTGCTGTGAAAAACAAATAATTCAGCTGCTGCCAATAAAGTTACGCTCTTGTTGAAACAAGTATGAGGGCATAATCAATCAAAAAGTTAATGAATTCCAATTTCTGACTTTACTTAGCTTTCAAAAAATTTACTGTGGTTCTAAATATAAACACACACAACTCCAAACCCCTTAAAAATAAATCCAGAAGTCCATTCCCAAAGACATACACTAATAGATAGATAGATAACAAATCTCAAACCAGGACAAAATCTCTGAAGTGCAGTCACTTAAGCGCCAAGGTCTAGCTTGCTTTTGCTCAGAAGCAGTGGGGCAGAATGATGCAACCTGCAATGAGGTGTGTTTCTCCTCCCATTCTAGCCTGCAAGAATGCTAGTGTGCTGCTCTGTACCTGCAAGGATGCAGGGACCCTGTTGCAAGGGCTGCCAAAACCATCCTGTGGGTCTTTTGGATCATGCAAAAGCTTTTGGAAACTGCAGAGAAGGCTGGAAAGTGCAAATTATGACTTGCCAGCAAGTGGAAGATAGTTCAGATCAAGTGCTGTGTGTCACAGGACTTCTCAAAAATTTAGAGGAAAGGGGAGAGCAGCTAAAGGGAAACCTCTGAAATGTCAGTAGGGAAAACAGATGGCCAGAAATCTGAACAAAAAAAATAAGAAAAATGTTTTTATACCTAAAAAGCATAAAGTAAGAGACTGCTTTTCCTGGAGGACTTCTGCAGATGACAGAGGAACAAAGGTTGGACCTACAGAGCTGAGGAAGCAAACTGCAATGGGTGAAGGGGAGAAGTTTCACCATGAGTAGCTTTACCATGAGAGATTTCGGTTTTGGGGATGCTTTGGGGGTGGTTTTTTGTTTTGTTTTTTTGAATAGCTGGGAATCGGATTACTTGGAATTTTTTTCTGCCTTGGTCTTATTTTATGCTACTCTGTTTCTTTCAGAACCTGTCACTGCATCTATCTCTCTTCACTTGGTACTGATGAGATCTTACTTTCTTTTGTGCAAGTTATCTATAACCTCCATCCCAAGGTTTCATTAGGCACATATTTTACAAGAAACTGGTAGTGAAGCACAGGACAGAGGAATTCGCAATGAGAGTAGGATTTTGAATGCAAAGGCTGGTTGGGTGCAGGGCTGACTGAACACTGTCAATACCACCTCCAGCAGAGTCCTCTTTACATACAACACTGACTCCCAAACCTTTTGGCCCCTGGGATATTATCAGTCCCCAGACTTCTCTCTTATGAGGAAAGGTGGAGAGAGCTGGGACACTTTAGCCTGTAGAAGAGAAGGCTGAAGGGAGACTTTATTAATGTCTATAAATATCAAAAGGGTGAGTGCAAGGGGGATGGAGTCAAGCTCTTTTCAGTAGTGCCCAGAAATAGGACAAAGGGCAATGGGCATAAACTGGAACACAGGAAAGTGCCATCTGAACATGAGGGAAATCTTCTTTACTATGAGGGTGACAGAGCACTGGACTGGGCTGCTCAGGGAGTTGTGGACTCTCCTCCTCTGGAAACATTCAAGACCTGCCGGGGTGCAGTCCTGTGTGATATGCTCTAGGCAATCCTGCTTTGGCAGAGGGGTCAGACTAGATGATCTCTAGAAGTCCCTTCCATCCCAACAGTTCTGTGATTCCTTGTATAGCCAGACCCAGATGATCAATATACTACTGAGGTTATTCCTGGACATGTCTACCTGTAGATCACCTACCATCAATGCTGTTAAAAAGTTACTTTCCCCAACCAGTCACACTTCTCACTTCCAGATACTGATACCACACAGTGCAGCTGCACTGCAGCTCCACAGGCTGTCGGTCTGCAGATTTGCACTACAGAGGAATTGTTTGCAGTGTTTGACCTGACTGGAACTTTAGGTGATTTTACTATTGGAAATGACATCCCCAAACTGCTCCTCTCCAGGCTCAGAAAGAAAGATGTACACACTGAGGATATGCTTACCAGTGTCAGGAGAAGTTGTCTTCACAGAAAGAAGCTTGACTCCTTCCTTGTCTGATTGGGCCCTGTTGAAGTCAGAAAACAGTTAAGCAGACAATGAGCATGCTGCTCATCATGCACCTTGGTCAGCCAAATAAAATTCCATGATTCAGAGAAGGCAGCACCTATGCCAGTCTATGCTGACTGGCTTGAAATGGGTTATGGATGGCATCATGGATAAGTCTTGGTGGCAGAAAATACCATATACCAATATTTCTGAAAACACATTTCTCTTAAAAATATGTAATAAATCAAGTTGCATGACTCCAGGTTCAATCTAGTGCTCCACAGAAGTTCATCTCAAGGAAAAGAGGGAGTAATCTTTTTTTTTTTCTCTGTCAATACAAGGCTTTTAGCCACACTGAATTTCAAGAAAGACCACTTTAGATGTCCAGGGAGTCAGCACTAGCAAGTAAATCAGCAGCCCAGGTATTGCTTTTGGTCATACAAAACAGAGAGGCCACAGCCAGACTCAACTATATTACTTCTAATGGTTCTTTCTTAGTTTCACACTCCTGAAACTCCTTATGCCAATACTGTTTTAACTGAGCCTCTGCAAATGGACTAGTGGAGAGGAAATAGAGCAGAGGAAAATGAAATCATGGAGGACACAAAAAAAAGAAAGAAAATTAATCCTGAATTTTAAAAACATTTACAAAAGAGAAAACATGAACTAAAAAGGGAGGTGGGAAAGGGTAGGGGAAAAAACAATCAAAGGGGCAAAAATTGATAAAAAAAGAAAAAAGACTGGGCTGGTTGGCCCTGCAGCACAGCATAAGCAGTTTATCTGTTTCAAAAGGCTCCTCTGAAAAACAATTGAGAGCTGGAATAGCTGCTTATCATGCATACAGGTGTACAATAACTACAAGCACATTGCTTTCAACAGGATACTTATCTCTTTGGGGTGGCAACTGCTTATTATTGTGTTTAAGCAGAGAAAGATCAAAGAAAATCTCATGCAGAATCTGCTACATTCACAAGTGCCCCATGATAGATCTCAAAGCAATGAAAATACAGGATTCAACCTACTGTTCAGTGCCGTTCTCTTGTGTCTCTGGAAGAAGGAACAAAGTTAATGTATTTTTCACTGCTGGAACTCAGTTAAGTAAACATTTAGACATAGGCTTAATTGTGATTTTGCAGTATTGCATTAAGTACTTTAACAAAATCAACCAGCTTGAATAGTACTTGGTGCTTTTCTAGTTTGTCTTTCCCAAAGATATTCATGTCACCTATGAAAATGAATTGTTATTGCTTGAACTGATACTTCTGGAAACTAGGGAGAATGATCTGTGACTTGTAGAAGAGCAGAACAGAAGTGCATTTTCCCCTGCAGCTCTCAAATGCCGGGGTAGCTTGCACAGAGGAGGTAAGCATGCAACAGATCTTGAGTGCATAACAACCGAGCTAAAAGATACAGAGTGAGGGGAGTGAGGGAACAAGCTGCCAGGCTGTATGCTCTGGGGGGTCTAACCTGGCACAACATGTGAGAACAGAGTCTGTTGATCCCTGCTGACAGGGAATGGGTTTCTCCCCAAAATGAATCATACACCTAACATTTTATTCTTGGGTGCAAGTACAGACAGATGGATGGGGCTGAGGGGTTGTACTGGAGATGTAGAGCCAATAGTGCCCCCTGGCACTGGGCACAGGACTCCCGTTTGCAGGGGAAGCACACTGGATAGACTTAAATCCTGCAGGAGGCACCACTGCTATTGATCTTGTCTAGCTTCCAAGTGAATTTGCTAGTACTGTGCCTGCTGGCATTTGTGCATGGGGAGGTTGGCAAAGAAACGTTCTTCACATCTTTACCTCTTGATTCCAAATATTCAGTAATTTCCTAAGTAGGGGTCACACCTTCTGCTTATCTGAGTCTGGTTTTCCATGTCATTGGCTAAATTGCTTGCAACACACTGTTTGCCTTGGTCTACAGCTTCAATCCCCTGTTGTGATTTTATATTTCCAAGGCATGGTGATTTCACAGTTGAAGCTCTGCACGGGTCTCCTAACTCATGCCAGCTTGCAGGGAGAAAAAAAACCCCACAGTCTGGATTCAGATCTGGGTTTTCACTTAGTGGAGAATTACACTTGCCTGTGGCCCACTCAAACAACTCTTTGAAACAGTTGACAAATACAATTTAATGAAATTGCACCCCCCATTATTTTAAGTGTTTTATGGACAGCAGTGAAACAGATGCTGGAATTTGCCAATCTGTCAAAATGACTGCTTCTGAAAAGAATTTTTGCTCAGAGCTTTTGTGCCCATGAGCATTAAACTGTAACTGGAAAATTTTACTTCTATATGTATGCATGTATGTATATATCAGGTATTTCCTAGAAGAAAGTGCTGATACTTCTTTGCTTGTATCTAGAACAGATATAAAATAAATAGTGATTTTGTTAAATAATATCTCCAAGCTGTTTTCTAAAAGTTTTTACTTTTTCTACCAGATTGACTGTGTTAGCATGGCTGTTAGCTCTTCATAGCTGCAAAACATGAATAGGAAGCTTTATGGCATCATATATATTCTCCAAAAATCAGAGACATTTTTAGTCCCTCTGTTCTTCCCACTGATTTTGAAAATGAAGTGTTACTTTCCTACTTGAGGCAAAATACTTTGAAATACAAGAAGCTTTCCTATCAGACAACTGCAGCATATATGGTGAAGGTAATCCTAGAGATCTTTTAATAATAAAAAGCACAATGGTTTCTTTCCTGCCACAGAGAAAGCAAACCAAATACCTGGCGTTTTCTTCTGGCACATTCTGTACAAAGCCACCAGTGAGAAGACAGAAAGGGTAATGACTATCAAAGTGATGACTATTGGCAAGATAAAGCCTGCAAAAGAGGAAAAACATGGTATCAGTTTGGGGACCAATGTTGATAATCCACAAAGGTTTTGTGAAAGTTTTGTTTCAGAAATAAATTTTTGATATATGCTAAAAATATTTCCTCTTTTTTGAAAACAAGACTCATCTGAAATTCAGCAACTGAAGTGATTTTTTCCTTTTAACATTGAAAACCCAGAAAAATACCAAGGAGTTACATAACACAGTAACATTCCCCAACAGCACTTACAACTAGGGATAGAAAATGCAAGATCTCCTTTTTAAACGAGGACATTTTTTTCCTTTTATTATTTCCCACCATCTGCCATTTCCTGACAGGTGTTTCCCAGCCAAGAAGCAAAAAGGAAAGAATTATGTAATGAAGAGAAGCTTTCCTGGGGAAATATATAAGCCCAGTTTCTCCCCCCC